ATTAATTACATATAAAAAAATGAAAAGAGGAGAATCGCTATGTGCTTTCCCCTTTCCCGAGCGAACCTCCTTTTTAGGATGCTCTCCGCGCATAAGCGGACGCTAATTGGCTAATTGGATCCTTGGTTAGAACCTATGCACCCTACGACCTAAGGATCCTGAAAAATCTACCCTAGGATCAACAGACCGTAGAATCAAAAGATTCCATATCAAATATGAATCCTAGGTTTTATAGACTCGAAAATTCATCGATTCATTGTTTTATGAATCCTATAGGTAGATCTTAGGATCTTATAAGAAAATCCTGAGAAATACGTAATCTTAAATATGTCTTAAAATCTATGGACTCGAGGACTAACAGATTCTGTTGTGCTTCACAAGTCCCTAATTTTACGAGTCTTAGGATATAAGGATCCTGAGAAACATCGCACCCAAGATCTATAATTTTTTAGGACGTACGGCTCCTAGAATTTAGAGTTTAAGAAATATGATTCCTAGGATTCGCGGATTTAAGCTTCGAAGATTTCTAGGATGTACGAAATTCTATTATTCGAATTCTATTAATCTAAATTCTTGCAAGATGTATTTACAAGTCCTAAAAATTTAGAGCTGTTTCGTGTACTTTAGGCTCTATATCATATATTTATAAATATATATGTATTTAACTTTACATTTCGGCGTCCTAAACAATGTTATATTTCGAAATGTAGACTCCAATACAGTGGCAGGTCTATGTTTTTGGAGGCCTAAAATAAAACCTTTTTTCGTAAAAAAATTTTATTTGCAAATAAATGAATGAATTTATTATCGACACATTAATATAAGATGCTTGCATCAAAAATCGAAAAAAAATTTAAAAAAAAATATACATTTCAAACTACCTATTACATTTTAAAAAATATATACATATATTAATATATTTTTAAATATTATCATATATCGATATTATTAAATATCGAAAAAAATGAAAATAGTTACATTTTACAGTTAAAAAGTTGCATCACAGTCTATAAAACTTTAAGTTTAGCAATAGTAGCCACTGAACACGTGAATTCTAGAAGCCGTTATAAACCCTAATATATCTTAGCATAAATAGATCCTGGATGTATGGCTACGTCGACCAGCGGCGTGAGAAAGAAATAGAGAGAAAGAATTACGGCGGAATATAGAGAAAAAGACTTGAGGATAGATAAAAAGGCGCCCGATGTGCCATGTATCGCCTTAGTTGGCTTTGAGCTTGTCGTTATAACCGATGTGACCAGGTGCGCTATTGGCAAAGTCCTTCTTATCGGTCTTCTTTCCAACCAGGTACGTCTTATGGAAGAATCGCGCGAATAGGACAAAGTAGCTCAAATACATCGCAAAGCTAAAGCGGATATTTCTGCGAGTAATGTGGCAGTCCACGTTGCTCTCCAGGTATTGGTAGGCGTATATATTGATAGTGCAACCGATCACCATTTGAGTGAGTTGCAGTGCGGTGATTACCATGGAGATCGCTTTAGGTGGCCTGTATCGCATTGCCTTGAGTGCGTAGTAGCTGTACATGATCGAGTGCACGCAATAGTTCATCACGACGAACCATCGCGCGGACGCGGTATACTCCGAATAGGAGAACCAGGAATACAGCAAGACAGTGATATGATGATACCAGTGCAGAAAAATCAGTGGCTGTTTGCGCAGCACGATGAAAATCGTGTCGCCAAGCTCGGGCAGTTTCGACAGCACGAACATCCACGTCCAAAAGCCCGACACGCAATCTTGTTCGATGAAACTGTAATCAAATTGATGACTATTTTACATAATATTTTCATAAGGAAGTGAACAAAATTTTACCATTTATCATTTTACCATTTATGTTGATTCATTCATTTCTTAATATATCCTATTCCAAGAAATTAATGTCAATGTTTATTTTAATTTTATCTTAATGTAAATTAATACAAATCTATGTTAAGTAATTTAACTTCTAAAAATAAATATAAGAAAAAAGTCTATGGAAATATATTTTTAGAAAATATACATTTAATGTCGTTCATCAAAGTATCTTAAGTAGTTTTTTAATATTTGTAATGTAAATTATATATAATATATTAAAATATATTAAAATATACTAAAATATACTTGCAAAAAATAATTTATCTTCATTAATATTTATTTATTTTAAGTAAGAACTACTTTGCAAATTATCAGACATTTGATCAAATTTGAATATTATGATGTGTAAGTATCAAGAAAATATAATTAACATATTAACTTTACTAATTAAAAGCTGATAATAAATTATATAAATGAAAGATAAAACAAAAAAGAAAGATACAAATAAATATCTATATAAATAAAATATAATAATTTTCTTTAAAATATTGATTTAAATTACAACAAACATTACACAAAACAAACACTTTTAATTAAGATTAAAATAAATATAATGCATATGCATACATTGTCCATGTTAAAATGTTAAAGTTTAACTGTTTTGTGTAAACAAAATTTCTTTTTTAATTAACGTTTCTTTCTATTCTATTTCGAATAAAAGGATCCATTTAAAAGAAAAAATAAGTTATGAAATCAAAGTCAACTTAAAATCGAAATTTAAGTTTCTCTTATTAAAAAATATGATAATCATTGATCCTATATTATTTATCTTTTTCTAGCATATTCTATATTTGCTATTGTGCATATCACATTTCAGATATATTGTATACGACTATATCGTGATATACAATATATATGTGCATGTAATTAGAGTTCAAAGTTAAATTATTAAATTAAAAGAGTTAGTTACATAAAACATAAAAAAATAAATCATAAGTTACATATTTACATTTGTGTTATCATGTCAGGCTCAAGGAAATTGCATGCAAATAATTAAAAACATGAGTAATAAAAAAAATTTTTAGACAAAGTTGATCAGCGCATATGTATATTTTCTAATTATTAGAACGATTACTATTATTAGAACATATTACGATTAGATTAGAACGATTAATTTTTATTTTGTTAATTGTAATCAAATTGTAATTTTAAATTTTAAATATTATAATTTTATTTTTGCATTTTCGAGTCCATCTGCTTTTCAGACCGCATTTTTTATCGCAAAATGTATTGTTTTAGTTTCGAACAATTTCTATGTTAATATATTTATATTCTTATGTAGAAGCGCAATTTTGTGAGCACATACTATTCATCATACCATTTTGCGAATTGTTAGATGTAATTTCTTTAACACATGAAAACTTAAAAAAAGAATGTGAAAGTGATGATTGTTATTCAAGAGTTTTTGCGCAAGGTGCAATCGTGATTGTTGGCTTATGCAAATCAATTGATTATCGAACTCGACAAATACCAATTACCTTGGTATACAAATGCTGTGGTGTAATCCGTGATGCCTGAGCACATGTATTAATTCAGGCGCCGTTCTGGTGAAGCCGATAATTGAAAAGGTAGCCAATAGTGTATTCCAAAGACACAGTATTCCCCTGAGTTCGAATCTGGGCCTGCTGGCCATGTAGTGTTGTCCGCCGAATATTAAGATCATATACAATCCACAGTAATAGAAACCGTTCGTCCAATTCTTCATCATCCACTGCTTGGTTTCATGATGGATGAACGTCTCCTCAAACTTAAAAATGTACGAGTAATTCGGGAGGGTCACCTCCATGTAATCCACCTTATTCATTTTTAATGCGTTTCAGCTCGACTCGCTTAGCAATTCTGTAACAGATATGGATAAATACCGTAATATTCTTTTTGTGTCAAGCCACTTATGAAATTAAAATGAAATGCCTGAATACCATCAAAAGAGTCATAAAAGAGTATAAATACGCTTTCGTATACGCATGTGTATAGATCTTTTTTCTCGAATTCCTATAAATATTTATATCCATTTACATACCGCGAGACATGTTTCTTATAAACCGACTGAGATAAGAAGAATATTCTTAGTATTCTTTAAAATTGTATTTGAGATAATTTCAGGTGGATCTCGAGACGTATGATTGCCTAAATATAAGATCGTAAATATATAATAAGATCCAAATAAGGCAAGACTAAATATAAGATAATTTAAGATTAAATAAGATAATTTTAAATAAATTGTAAGCGATTCAATCATACATTGCACATTCGTAGATACAATTATATATTCAAAATTATTATCTTTCTCTTTTAAGTGGAGAGACGTAAGATTTATATAATTATGATGATTACACTCTTAAAAGTCGCAATAAATGTGATATACTACTATATGTTGAAATTTTTATCATGAATATAATTTTGAACCTGCGGTTTTATATTATAAACGCAATTTTCACTCGGATGTCCTTTTACAATTCGCAATTTTGATACTGATTATATATAACTTTAAACTTCAACAGATAGATAAACAATGAGAAGAATAAGAATTAAACACTGAAAATTAATACAGAATTAAATTTCGACTTGTGGGAAACCATACTTCCTACAAGAAGCCTGCAAGGAAGTATATAATTTCTTTCAAGGAATTAGAAATAGAAAATTAAATTTCAACATATAAGAAATCATACCTCCGTCTACAATAAAGTGATTCCCTAGGATAATTGCAATTTAATTCTCTATTCCTAATTTTCTTTTATATCTAATTTCCCATTCCTTGTTCTTTTCATCTGTATGAAGTCCTGTGCACAATGAAGAAACAGAAATTAATAACAATTAGGAACAAGAATAAATATTACATTTTGGAAATAAAAATTATACATACACTTTTATTTCCAAAATTTAATATTTATTTTCAATATATTTCATATAGATGCATACATACATACATACATACATACATGTATTTGTGTGTGTGTGTGTGTGTGTGTGTGTGTGTGTGTGTGTGTGTGTGTGTGTGT